TCAAGTAAACACTTAGCAACACCACTAGCTAAATCTTGACCTTTGTGACTAGTAATTGGACAAAAATTTAATATCTTTTTATGCAAATTCCAATTCTTGTCAATGTAATGTGCTGTAACACACATATAGTTAATTCTTTGAATTGATGTCCATGTATCAGTCGTAATACAAATTCTCTATTTTGATTCTTTAAAAATTGACTTCAAAGCAAGTTTTTCATCATGGTAAATCTCAAAACAATCTCTAGTCATAGTAGTACGAGATGGAATATGAAATAAAGGTTGAAGAGCTCTCACGAAGTCTCTAAATCCATCCTTTTCAACAGAAATGAAGGGTTGTTCATCTATAATTATCATACGAGCTAAAGCCCTCCTACATTCCTCTTGATCAAATTTCCAAGGGATAAGCGAGACATCACCTGTTTGACCGTTCGGTTGAAAAGCTAATTTTGTCTGGCTTGTCTCCGGCTTGTGGGGATTGTTCGGACACTTGAGAAGATGTGATAGCAAATTGCTTGTACCACTGTTTTTGGTGTTAGCTACATATTCTTGTGGACAGTACTTGCATTTCGCTTTTTTAACACCCTCGTTATCAGTGAACTTACTGAAGTATCGCCAAACCACTGATCTTTCTTTCATGATTTTTCTTTTCTTCGAACCAGAATCAGATTCGACGTTGTTTGTGAAATCATTTGAAGCACCACTTTCACCACATTTTACAAGGGCTTGAACTTTATTCACCATCTCTACCTCATCTTCCATCTACGAAACAAAACAAAAAATTAAAATTAAAATCGGATTCAAAATAGTAGTATAGTATGGTCTATTTCTGTTTAAGAAAATCAAGAGTGAAACCCCCAATTTATTTCATCAATTTTATCCAAGAAATAAAAGAGAACAAAGAGACCTAACCTTAGTGTCTTTCTTAAGAATTTCATCAATTTTTAGTGTCTTACCAGTTACCAGTGCGGTCGCCGGAACACAAAGAAGAGATAGAGGAAGCGACGAGCAGGAGGGAGCAGCTTGAGGCGTCGCGTGAAGACTGAAGTGAGCAGCACCAGCACAGCAGTCTTTGGGTGTGACTTGTAAGGCGTGAAGAGTGAGGACTGAGTCTGAGGAGTGAGAACTGAGAATTAGACTGAGGCAGAATGAAATAAGACCTAATGCACCTAACCCTAAAAATAAAATTAGTATTTATTATTCCCTTAATAAATTCGGATTTCGTATTGGATTGGGTTCAAACTATACAAATCCGAATCCAATCCGAAAATCTGAAATTTTAATAAATCAAATCCGAATCCGATCCAAATATCCGAAATCCGAATTTGAGCGGATCGGATTTCGGATATCCGATCCAAATGCACAGCCTTACCGGGAACCAGTCTAAGGTTTCCGAGAACAGTGAGGACCCTAGGACCACTCAGGATCCTATGCAAACAGACAGGCCATAGGGAATCCCTATATCCTTTTTCCTTTCTCTTTTGATGCTTTATTTGGTTTAGTTGGCATTGGGGACAATGGCAACTTTCATTTGAGTGGGTAGGCCTTACTTTTTATTTTATGGATTCATTCGTATGACTGTATATACATTTGATTTTTATTCTCTTTATCTTTTCATCTTTGGGTTGTATATAATTTAAATATTTCGTTACATTTATCGCACTTTTATTTTACTTTGGGTCTGTATATAAAGTTATGTTACATTGTACATATTCATCCCATCTATTGTATATTCAAATCCCCTCTTGAATATATTCATTCTACTTTCCGCAAATTTTTCATTCTTAGCTTCTTATTTGTGATTCGTAGCTTCTTATTTTTAAAGTTTGCAATAAGCCTTTGGTTTTCTTAATGCCATGGTTCTTTTCAAAGGTAGAGTGTTGTGTGAACCGGGTGGCTCTTCCCAATGATGGATGGCGTGACAACCTTCTTAAGGGTTTGAGTCCATTTTTCTTTTTATTTTTAGTAGTTAATAGTTAAGGGTACCTCAAGAAAAGCTTCACTTGGGCCTAGCACATTTGCCTTTGATCTTTTGGTCAAAAATAATTTGTTGTGTTTAGGATGGTGAAAGTCGTGACCTTGAGACTCTTGTGTTGACCGATAATCATCAAGTGGTTTTTCGGGACCATTGTGTGCTCAAATCTTATCTAAGGTCGTTGTGGGCCCCCGACTCTTTGTCTTTAGTAATCCCATAGCTTGTGTGGCGAGTAATCGCATTGCAAGTCCATATCCCGAGCCATTGGTCTAGAACTTGCCCTAAATGTTTGTTGAGGTGAAATGATAGTTGAACACCTCCATAAATTACCAATGATAAAATTCCTAGTCAACCCTTTTGAGCCTTAGACCTTTTTCCTTCAAGAACCATGATACAAGACTATACCCGTTCTAAAAGATACCCTATCTTGGCACCCGATCTTTCTTTTAGCACATGGCAAAAGTATAAGTTTGGGCGGAGAGACAAGGATTGCATCAAAGTGGTAAAAAGGCACAAAAATGAATAAAAGTAAAGGCAATGAAAAAGAAAGAAAAGCAAAATGACAATTAGAATGTTCAATATGAAAAAAGAACAAAAACGATTCAAGAAAAGCAGAGAATGAAAGGTATGGAAAGTTGAAAAAGGAGAAAAAGTTTGAAATGCATAAGAAAGAGTGACAGTGTGTCTCTCTAACCCCTTAGAAAGAAGTGAAATGACTTAAAGAGTTAAGTGAATGTGTGCTAAATGAATCAAAAGAAGTGCTTAAGAGAAGATGGAATCTACTTAGACCAAAATATTTCCTACCCTAAACCAAAAGCCTTCACAATGTCTCCACAAAAGCCCTATATGATCTTGAGTTGAATGAAGCTTATATTAGTGGATACTCACATAAGGGGCAAACATATGGTACTTAGAGCTGGACTTGTGACTTTTTCTTGAGAGAGATGATGAGTGAACTTCCATTTACCTCGTTCTGAGTGCTACTATCTTAAAGGTGAGGATTGCTTAGGGAGAGTTGAGGATGTGTGAGTTTGGATTCCACAATGACCGAAGTAATAGAAAAGAGTTCTTTGATGTGTTGAGTCAATTCTTGATGCTATTGTGTTGCACTTAATCCATGGAGTTTCAAAGAGTAAAAGTTGTTAATGATTCATTTGTATTGAGGGCAATTGTTAGTCCCAATTGATGCTAGATGAGGTTACTTTAGGAAAGCTGAAAATTTCTTGGATTTTCCCTAAAGGGGTGGGTCTTATTTTTTTTGCTTGAGGACAAGCAAAAGCTTAAGTTTGGGGAGTTGATAACTAGGGATTTTAACGCATTTTATACTCCTTCTTGCTTATGCTTTGATTAGAAATTCATGCAAAATAGTCCCAAAAGGCTCACAAGTTGTGGTTGATTGCAGGTTTGATCAACAAAGTGACAAGATGTCAAAGATCAGCTCAAAAGGAGTGAAACTTGCACAAGTACCAAGACAAGACAAAACTCAGGCAAAACAAGGCCAGTGCGGCCGCCCTACATTCTGTGCGGTCCGCACTAGGAGATTCAGAGAGGCTGATTTCCAGGCAAAGAGGCAATGCGGCCGCACAAGGTTTTGTGCGGTCCACACTGGAGTTAATATGGCCGCACTCGATTTAATGCGGTCCGCAGACCCAAGGATCAGAGAGATGCCAGATGTGAAGTTCCAAGCCAATGCGGTCTGCAGTCCATTCTGTGCGGACCACATTAGAAGCCTCCGCGGCCGCAGACCATTTTGTGCGGTCCACATCGCCTGAGTTCAGAGAGCTGTAGTTTCAAGTTCAGAGCCCTAGTGTGGCCGCACTCCATTTTGTGTTGTTCGCACTAACCCCGCAAGGGTATTTTTGTCCATATTTTTTAGCTTAGTATAAATAGCTTCTTTTTCCATTTTTAGGGCATCATATATTGTAAGCATTTAGCTGCGCTCGTGGGTTCGACTTTCTTAGCCATTTTGGGCAATTTTATCTACTTTTCATCATTGAATCTTGTTATTTACCTTAGTAATTAATTAATATGAGTTGTTCTTCATCTATTTCTTGCTTTTCCTCTTCAATTATGAGTAGCTAGACCTATAGGCTAAGGTTGTGGCTCAACCATAGTGTGGGTAATTGATGAGTCTTGTAATTTAGGGCTAGATTGAATGTGGGTGTTTGATATTTGGGCAATTTCATGGTTAATTGCTAAATTAGTGGTTGCAAACACTAGTTTGTGTTTAGTTGACTTGGGCTCTTCTTGAGAAAGAGAGTATAAGTCTCCAAACTTGTCCAATAAGGAATTGGGGCATACTCAAGAGATTGATAGCCCTAATTAAAGGGTTAAACCTCGAGAGAGTAATACCCGACGTGAACCCTAGTTGCTTGTGCAAATTTGCATACCCAATTGGTCTTGAGAAAGTCAATTAGGACAAAATCACTCGAACCACCAAGAGGTGTAGAGTGGGTAAAGTCGTACAATGGTTATATCATACTCCCCAACTATGTCAATCGTGTCTTAGATTCAATTACCCGTCAATTAACCACCTAGGTAAAAGTCACTACCCTAGTGCCTTTTAAAGCATTTGAACAACCCTTTTTAGTTTAACTCTTAGCTTAATCTAGTTTCATTTACTATTGTAGTTGGATAAGAGTAGAATTAAATCAAAAACCCCAAAAATGATTAAAAGTGTAATTTGGAACACATACGCAATCCTAAACTAGATAGATACTCGATTCCAATTTCTAGCTCTCTGTGGATATCGATCCCGACCCAAAATCGGGTAAAAGCTGCTCCGACCCTCTCTCACTACTTAATTAGTAGTGCGGAGTAGGCTGCGATCATCTAACACGTGAGATGGATTTCCGAGATACTTTCGAAGCATGGACACATGGAATACTGGATGGACCGCTGATAAACCAAGTGGCAACGCAAGTCTGCAAGCCCTTCTCTCCCACTTGATCAAGAATCTCAAAAGGCCCGATGTATCTAGGCCTCAACTTGCCCTTCTTTCCAAAACTCATTACACCCTTCATGGGTGACACATAGAGCAAAACTCTCTCTCCGGCCATGAATGCAACATCACGGACCTTACGCTCGGCATAACTCTTCTGCCAGGACTGAGCTGCACGAAGTCTATCCTGAATGATCTTAACCTTATCCGAGGCATCCTGTACCGAAACTGTACCTAATAACCGATCCTCCCTCGGATCAAACCATCCAACAGGCAATCGACACCATCTACCATATAATGTTTCATAAGGGGCCATCTAAATGCTCGACTGGTAGTTGTTGTTGTTGTAGGCAAACTCTGCAAGTGGCAAGAACAGATCTCAAGAGCCTTCGAAGTCAATAACACAGCCGCGGAGCATATCCTCCAATATCTGAATAGTGCGCTCAGACTGTCCGTCCGTCTGAGGATGAAATGTTGTGCTCAACTCAACCTGTGTGCCCAACTCACGTTGCACTGCCCTCTAGAAATGCAAGGTAAACTTCGTACCTCGATCAGAAATGATAGACACAGGAACACCGTGAAGACGAACGATCTCACGGATATAAATCTCTGCCAACCATTCTGAAGAATTGGTAACTGTCACAGGAATGAAATGTGCTGGCTTGGTCAGTCTATCCACAATAACCCAAACTGCATTGAACTTTCTATAAGTCTGTGGGATTCCAACAACGAAATTCATAGCGATGCGGTCCCACCTCCACTCAGGAATCTCTATCTTCTGAAACAAACCACCAGTTGATGCTTGTACTTTACTTGCTAACAATTTAGACACCGAGCCACATATGCCACTATATCGTTGTTCAGTCTCCTCCACCAATAATGTTGTCACAAGTCCTGATACATCTTGGCGGCGCTCGAATGAATAGAATACCGGGAACTGTGGGCCTCCTCTAGAATCAACTCACAAAGTCCACCCACATTAGGCACACAAACACGACCCTCCATCCTCAAAACTCCATCATCTCCAACCGTAGCCTGCTTGGCATCTCCGTGTCGCACTGTGTCCCTAAGGACAAGCAAATGAGGGTCATCATACTACTGCTCCCTGATACACTCAAACAATGAAGACCGAGCGACCGTACAAGCTAGAACACGGCTGGGCTCAGAAACATCCAACCTCACGAAATAATTGGCCAAAGCCTGAACATCTAATCCGGTAAATACTGACCAAAAAAATCGACCAACTTTGTTCGGTTACGGCCAATTACCGACCAAAATGCGACCAAATACGCTTAGATGGTATTTTGATGGTCGTTTTAATATATCGACCAAAGTTGGTCGGCCAATTAAATTCAAAAAAAAAATATTGCAAAAAAAAAACGACCAAAGTTGGTCGGTATTTTAATTATGTAATCAAAAGATTCGCCATCTGGGAATCGAACCGGGGTGTGTACTGTGGCAGGATACTATTTTACCACTAGACCATTGGTGCATTTTGTTTTAAGATTTTCTTTTCTTTTATTTATACTCTTTAATTGTATTTTTGCACGAAAATAACTGACCAAAGTTGGTCGGTTTTATTTAAAAAAAAAATTACCGACCAAAGTTGGTCGGTTTTTTAAAATGACCGGCCGAATTTACCGACCAAAGTTGGTCGGTTTTTTTAATATTAATTTTTATTTTTAATTGCAAAACCGACCAAAGTTGGTCGGTTTCTTGAAAAATAAATTTCGCGGGACTCAAAAATAGTTTTCCGCATTTTTGCGCCAAAGAAAACCGACCAAAGTTGGTCAGTTTCATAAAAAAAAATTAAAAATTAAAATATTTTGAAAAACCGACCAACTTTGGTCGGTTTTTGGCCGGTTTTTTGACCGACTAAAGTTGGTCGGTTTTTCTAGTAGTGTTAATCGAATTTAAGAATTAAAAATAAAAATATTACCTAAATAATGATATGTTCTATTAATTTTAAATTATCGAAATACCATTTCAAATTCGACAAAATATAAGAATTTAATAGATCTTGACATATATGAATATGGAAGAACAAGATATTGGTCATACTTGATAAGAAAGTGATGATACAACCCATTATTTAAAGTAAATAAAAATGGAGCACTATATATTCTATTAAATATTACATTACGTAAGAGAATCCTAAATATTTTTAGATATTTTTCAAAGAAAATTCTACATAAAATCTTAAAAGTATATATAAATATTATATATTTATATGTCGGTTTGGTTCGAAGTATTCTACTCATTACTAAACCAAATCAAACCAAATTTAATTATTTTTCAATAGGATTGGTGTGACTTTTTGACGTGGTGCAATTTCCAATTCGATTACCAGTGCAAATATACCGGGATAAGGTGCACCATATGACAAGGGGTTGCAAATTTATCATGGATGGTAAAAATTACATTTCTTTAATTTCCTTATTGGCAGAACTCAACATTGCATAATATAGGTACAAAAGCACTCCTTATAAACGTTATTAGTACTCCAAAACTACGCATTTTAACGTATCATACCAAGTTAATTGCATTATTTTCTGGGTAACAAATTACAGTTATTATGAATTGTTCTCTGTAATGATTTCATAGATAACATATTTATATAAATTAAATTGATTATTTTTACATTGTTAGTCCGCATAAGTTAAAGGGAACCTTACACAAATAGCCACACCACGTAATATCACACTAACTTTTTCTAAATGCAATTTTGTACATGCCCTTTGAAAAGAAAGCTTTGTACAATTCTAAGCTTCTAGCAATATATTTTGGAAAGATGAGTAATATCTTTATTTAAATCTCATTAATTATGATTGAAATCGAATAAAGCAGTTGCCAGAATCATGGATTGTAGCTAGGAAACTAACTAGTAACAAACAATCTAATAGAGTTTGAGTAGGAACAGGACGTTGACCGAGTAATTTTAGCGTTTATATATATAACACACTTGTGTGTACAAAACTAATTAATTAATTAATTAGGGTTAAGAAAAAGCTAAAGCCGATGGCTAGAGAATTAAGAGGTCAAGTGATGTGGATAAACGCATGGACATGTGGGTTTTATTTTTTGCTCTTTAAGATATTTTATGGCATCTTGCATTTGGATTCCCAGGGTCATGAAAATTGTTTCTTATTTGCTACTCTTATTACACTGCAAATTCTTTGTATCTTTTTGTGCAAATATAGCCAACATTTAGAGAAGATAATCGCACAACACCTCCTTATGAATATGGTGACTCTTGTGGCCTTTCATGTAATTGCTTTTGCCTACGCTTTATCAAAGGAAAATTATAATATGCAGATCAATGGCTGTTTTATAGACATTTGTTGTGTTGATATTATAATTATTTCTACGTATAAGTTGGTATCTATGTACTATGATTCAGTTGCCGTTTCAATGGTGCTTTTCTATATATTAATAGTTGCTACAGTCCTGCTACGAATTTATGTCAAAGGTATCGCTCATCTGATGACTGCAATTCCAGCTCTACTTGCGCTTATTGCCATGGTAAGTACTTGGATTAATTAAATTTTAGGTTTTGTTCTTATATGATGTATGCACTAATTCTTATTCTTTCTCTCCAATTTTTTTTTTTTTTTTTTTTTT